TCTGTCCAATGGCAAGAGCCCTTGGCTGTTTGCCAAGCTTGTTTGCCTGTTTGCCAGCTTCTTAATACATGGCACTCTCCTTTCTGCTGTTGGTAGGAAAGCATGGACTTTGGAGTCAGGCAGATGTGTTCACAAATGTGAATTCTGGTGTCTTACATTTGACCTTAGAAACATTGCTTAATTTCTCTGACCTCCTTTGACTTATCTATAAAATGAGAATCCTCCCTGCCTTGCTAGGGATTTGTGAGCTGTAAATGAACACATGTAAAGTATCCAGAATACTACTGGCTTTTATTTAATGGCTATTAAATAAAAGTTGTTATTGTCATCATGTCACCATTTAATTATATCTAAGTGTAGTGTATGGTGTATGTGGAAGGAAGAAGTGGGTGGTGACCTGGGGACATGAAGAGACAACAGATGTCCCCTCCCTGCAATGGAGAATCTCCGAATCATTTAAGCAGGGAGGGGACATGATCTGATTTGCTTTGTAGAAAGATCACAGTAACATCAGAGGAAGACTGGTTTGGAGAGGAATGAGCCTAGAGACAGGATGGCTTCTATGGTATGTGGGTGAGAAGTGATAAAGGCCATTCATACATATCAATTAGTGGCTGGAGGGATGTAGAGGAAAATGCTTTTGAAATATATTTAGGAGGTGGAATCAATGCAAGGAGACCAAAGGAAAGAAAATATTTAAGAATATTTGTGGATTTCTGGTTTTAAGTCATTATAATTGAATGGAAGAAGAGATTCGTTTGTCATTTGAGGTGCCTATGAGGAACATTTAGGTGGAGAGTTCAGAAGAGAGGTTGGGCCAAAGAAGAGAGATTTGGGACTCAAAGGAGAGCAGAAGGAAGTTGAACTAATGGGGCTACAGGAGGACCCCCTGGGGAATAGAGTGTACAGGGAGAGGAAAAGCCTATCACCTTCCAGGGAGTTGAGAGAATTGGAGTCCACAAAAAGGGACTAGGTAACCAGAAAGATAGAAGGGCACTAGGAGAGAGCTCAGGCTGGAAAGCCCTCATTGCAATAGTGGCTGGGGGCGGGGGGGATCTTTGTGAATGGGTGTTGCATGTGGAGTGGGAGCCAGCTTCTAGAAAATTTGAAGAGGGGGAATCATTTACTAGCCCTGGCCTGGAGAATGGTAGGTCTTCCACTGGGGGTGAGGAGGGCAGTGCGTGTAGGTGTTTGGCAGGGAGGAAGAAGCAGTAAAGTGAGCGGATGCTGCCTGATGGCCTCTCTGCAGTGCTCTGCAGCGCGTGCTGCCTGTGGGTGCTCAGAGTGAGGCGCTGACAGAGGACCTGGGAGGGTGGGGGTTGGGGTAGTTGGGGTCCAGTGGTGGTCTTATCCCTCTACCCCATTTCTCTTTGTCTTGCACTTGGATTTTGTGTGTCTGTGTGCGTATGTGAGTGTGTATTTACATATTTTTGTATCTGACAGACATCTAATTGGAATCACAGAAAGGGATGGTCTCATTATTTGGGACACATGATAGCTCTTCAATAAAATCTTCTTAAATACCTGGTCCAACAATTGAGTGTTAGTGGGTCTGGCTGTAAATAATAGGTTATTTTATACTGTGGACGTTATGTGAATAGGTGGACTAGATGATCTTCACTCCAGTTCTAAGGTTTTATGCCACGTATTTATTACTTAATTTGTAAAATATACACTATTACAAAGATAAAAATTTTTTTCTTAAAATATTTTGAATAATAGTTTAGAGCATTTATTTCCTTACAGTCCGTAATTGGTCTTCTTGCTAATTGGACTGTTCTCTGCTCCCCTTCCACACAGTTTATGGTTGACATTACAGTATCTACTGTAATGTCACTGTAATTTCACCAAGACTGGCCTTCTTGGTACCATCTGTCTGAGCCAGCCAATGAAACTGTTGTGCCCTTCCTTTTCCAGTAAAACATTGTCTTAGGTATTTTGTTCTGCGTATTTCTAGTATGTTACAGACATTAGCACAAAAAAGCATTCCCATCACTTTTCTGGACATGTTTAATGTTCTTATTTAACAGGGACTGGTAATGCTTCTCACGCACTGGCCATGTTCTGAGGGCATTATAAATACGACCTCATTTCCTCCTCATTATGACCCTGGGAGGTAGGGTCTGCATCTTCATCTCCGTCTCACAGACAGGGAAGTGGAGGTGCAGAGAGGGAGGCTGAGTGACGCGCCAGCTCACGGCGTGAGTTGTGGCTGAGTCCGATTCACCTGTCTTCTTGACTGCTCTTCCCCAGGGCATCATATGGCTGTGTAACTTATGAGCAAAGTAATTGGGAGATTTCAGATGTGCCAAACATACACATGTCCAAGAATATGGACTTTTCAGAATCATGGGACGACTAAATTAGTGTGGTATTATGTTAGATAATACTGAAACCGAGAACCATATATCTGGTGCACCATGCGCTCCTTCAAAATACTGAACACATGAGAACACACGTTTCGGTGAAGTACGTGTGTCTGTTGCTTCAGAGGCATCGCCGACATTTCCCGCTGTGTGTGTTGCCGGACACACATTGGTGCCGCGCGTCAGCATGTGCTGGTGCCTGGGCTGGCTCGGCCTTCCCGCTGCTACACAGAACAGTTCAAAACGGAACCCAGAGCAGGAGAGCAACCCCGGAGTCCAGAGCTTTTCTGCTGCAGGGTTCTTTGAGTTTTTTAGTGACATGGGTTTATTTGAACTTTTTTTATTTGAGCTTTTTAGTGACACGGGTTTCGGATCCAGAGAAGTACACGTTCTCTGAATCTTGTGGTCCTGACATTTAACAAGTGACTTCACACCCAAATGGTATTTCAGAGTGATGAGGCATCCTGCAACTGAAAATCTCTTTGTAACTCAATACTGAGGCTTTGTCTTCAAGTTAGACATTGTTACAGAGTTTGAAAGCTTAGTTGGTGTTCCCCTGGCAAAAGTAGGCTTCTGCACACCAGCCCTGAGTGCCGGGAGGCTGCCGCACTCTGTGGGACTCCTGTCCAGTGAACCCTCTGACCCTTAGGGACTGTGTGTGCCAGGGGTGTGCCTGCCCACAGGCTCACAGAAGGAGTTTCTAGATTGAAGGGGGGTAGATTATGTTCACCTACGTGCGTCTCTCATCTCCTCTCATTGACACCCGTGCTCATGTTTTCTTAGAGTAACTATTTACTCTTTGCAGTTCCCATCACATTTTAATCCTGAGAAATGTGTGTCAGAAGGAATAGTTGAAACCACACGAAATACAAGTGAATTCTCATTGTACTTTTGCTTCATTGTTGGGGTTATATCTAAAGTTACCCTGTGTGTCTAAAAATTCATTAACATATCAGTTCATTACAGAATTTTTGTGTTAAATGGAATACCTGTTGAGATTTTGTTTTGTAGTAGATTTTGCACCAGTGGGGAAAATTTCCTAAGACCTTTAAAAGCTTGCCGCCTGTATTAATAGCTGTCTTATGTTCTGAGTTTTTGATGTGTTTTATGTGACTTAAATATGATTGCTATAAGAAGAAGAGAAAAAAATCATTTTTAGTGCCTTTGGATTATCGTAATGAGAATATTGTAATTTGATAGATGTGAAAATGCCATCATAAAATTGACATTCAAACTGTAACTTCAACTTTGCGAGTTTTCTTTGTGCCCTTTTCTTACACAGGCACAAAGGGTGTAAGCTTAAGAAGGAAAGCCTGAGAACTGAATTTCCTTCCTGACTTGGGTTATTTCCTTCTGACCCACATGCTATTTATAAACCAGTGCTAGGGAGGGCTATAATGTTTCAGTAGTGCAGTGCCCTCTAGCTGTGTTTTGAGGAACTGGATACTTGAAATAGTGACTTGCCTGCCATTTATTTAGTTTTGAGGGGAGATTCTATTTATACATTGTTTTTACATTTCTCAGGCTGTTACATATTTTCATAATTTTATTACAGAGGAAACTTTATTAAAAATGAAGTAAATTTTCATTTGGTCTGTGATTAGCTTTGAGGCTTCCTTTACATTTGTAAAGTGTGGACACGGGAATTTGTTGTGGGTGGGCACTTGAGGCAGGCAGTTTTATTAGCACTAAAGGGATTATTTGCATCAGTTGCTGAAAATGCCTCTTATGCTGTCAACATAGCACCAGGCAAATGGAAACTTGTTTAGGTGATTTGATTTTTTTTCCCCTAACTTGCTTTTGAATAAGAACTATCTGAAGTAATGTCTACTAATCATATCGCCCACATATTGGCAAAAATCTACTTAGTATTCAATTAGAATATCATCAGTGTATAATTTAAATTCTTTTTTCTTTACCAGTACCTTTCAGAAGTAGTTCTCAGTGCTGAGGTGCTTCAAAGAGCTCAAAGTTTATACATTTGTGAAAGAACCAGTCATTAGTTGGAACAGACACTACCGGAAGGCCATCCATTGGTTGTATTTTCAAAAGTGTCCAGTAATCTTCTTCTTTAAAATATGTTTCGCCCCTAACAAGCAATACTTTTTTCTTTCTAACTTCACCTCCTGAAGTCAAGCTGATAAACCAGGAGATCTACATTTACATTGGTTGCATTTTCCATGACCTCCAAATCAGCCGCACCCCAGGAATAAAGAAAATGGGTACAGTTGTCTCTTGCCTTGATCTCGATGCAGAAAACCAGGATGCTGCCTTAATTAGGCGCTTTCACTGGTGTAATGAGCAGTGTACTGATTGTTTCACACAGGCCTCAGGGCAGGTGATTTTTGTGGATTTTGCAACACACTCATTGGTGCTTGCTTGTAATACAGTACTGTTCTCCTAGTGAAGGAGGTTTGGGACTAGCAATGGTGGTGGTGACTTTTACATGTAGAAGAACAAGGGATTTCACTGTACAAAGAAAGTGTTTTTGTACTGTTCTTGATGGTGGTATTAATATTTCTTGCTAAAACATTTTCCTTCTGTGGTCTGATAATCAAGTTTAAGGGGATGATGTTTCTTGGAAGAATTGTGAGTCCCATTTAATTGTCCTGTCTTGTTGCCATTGTTTTCTAGCATCCTCCAGGACAAATAGCGAGGAAATACAGCTCCTGCTCCACTATTTTCCTAGATGATAGCACAGTCAGTCAACCAAACCTCAAGTATACAATTAAATGGTGGGTATACACATTTTTGCTTGACTGAATGCTTTTTTCTGTTCCTTAACCTGACAGCTAACTGGTTGGTTGTGGGGTCTGGAAGTGGTAAGACTGGGCTGGAGGACAGGCCTTTGACTATTGAGGATATCTGTTTAAAAAGTGATTTTGGTAGTTAAAATTTGGGGTGTTCAAAATATTTGTGTACATTTACATAAAAGACCAGATTTTAAAATTATTTTAAATGTAGATGAGAACATGTATTTGATTTCTACCTCCCCACTTTTTATTAAAGCCATCCTGGAATAACTCTACTAACATTTTATTTACCTTTGAAATAAAGAGGGGCTTTTGTGGTCCCATTTAAGACTCAGTGTATTTGCCCAGAGTTGAGAGATCCGAGTCCTGATCTTGGCTCTTTAGCAACAGGGAGGGTTTGGGTAAGACCCTTCTCTTTGAAACCTTGTTTTAAAGAGGGGCTTAAGGGGAAAGGGGAGTCTTTGGATAAAATCCTTTCCCTTTCGGGCTTCAGTTTCCTTATTTTAAAATGGAAGGTAAGAAGAAGGTAAGAAGAAAGGAACACTTTTTTCTTGTAATGTTCCCCCATTAGCATTGTTATAATAATGGCCTTTGACAGAGATCGCAGAAAACCTGATGTGCTGGGGTCTGTGGTCATCATTTCAACTGCAAAAAACCTGGGGTATTTTATTTTTATATGTGTTTAAGAAATTACACATTTAACAACAGGCCAAGTTAACGTATGATGTAAGTGTTTAAATTTCTAAATAAGAAGTATTCTTTCATTTCAGTGGGCCATGTTTTCAGGCTTGGAAGCCCTATTCTGAGTGTGGCCATATGTAACAATAAATCACAACCTCAGTCAGGCAGCAGGGACTATGTCAGTCTTCTGCGGACAGCAGCCACTCCAGGTGCTGGGGGGAGGTGGAAGATGGGGCCACTTGGAGGGAGGCTGCCTTCTGTCCTCAAGGGTTGCATGTTTTCTAAGACCTAAATAGAAATGCAACTTCTTCCCTTATTACCTTGACATTTAAGGGCATGATAAATGGTGAGTGGGCATAAAACCAAACAGTCCACGTTTGTGGCTGGGAAGTGGTTTGCATGTCATAGCCTTTGGGGCACGGTTTACTGCCAGGATATAGGAAGTGCAGTACTTCTTGGGAGTATTTTCTAGAGTAAATCATTAGTGATTGTGGAGAGTCGCTGAAAGCCCTGAGGATTTATGTACCATGTAGCTGTTGGCGTCTGCACAAGTTCCAGAGAGCCTGGAATCAAAGCTGCTAACCTCTCTAATCCTGGGATCCTCTTCAGTGGGAGGGGAGGCCAGGTGGAGCAGAGGGTACCTTCACTTTCAGGGCCAGCAGGAGCTCTTGGGATTTACAAATGGATCCGACTCAGTTGTTCAGTACTTCCCCCTTGGATAACTGAAAATGACCACTGGTTGTGACATAGACACTTAGGAGCCTGGTGGGAAAACTGGTTAATACTTGGATATTTCAGTGTCACCTAAGTTATAAATGTGCTGCTGTGCAAATCAGTGGTTCGAAGCCCTGGCTACACCTTGGAGTCCTCTGGGAGCTGGGAAGTATGCTGATGTTTGATGTCTTGCCCTGCAGATCTGGTGTCTGGATTTTTAACACCCTCCTTAGGAGATTCTAGTAGGCAGCCAAGTTTGAGAACTCCTGATGTAAGTGGACAGTTGCTCTCCCCTCCCCCACCAAAGTTCACTCGAAACTTTTAAATTATAGGTTAATATGTGGAGAAAGAAGAGCTAAAAGCTGGCCCAGTTAAAGAGTAAACTGTTGAAACAAAACATTTCGTGTAGATACTGTGACTTCCCTGATCCAGAAGACCTGTTCTTTGCACCACCTGAAATCCCTTCAGTCAGTAGCTCATTTATTTGTATCTTGGACCTGGGACTAGGGTGGACCCTAGCCGAGGTAGTACCATCAAAATCCTTCCCTGTAAATGCCTGCATCCCACTTGGCTGTGTGGTAGTCAAGGAGCGGAAGAGTAGAAGACATGGGTGTTAACAGGCCTGGCTGAGCGTTAGCCAGGTCTTTGATGGTGTAAGGGGAGAGGGATACTCGGAAGGAGTCATGTCAAAAAGCGGGGTAGGAAGAAGCTAAGCCCGAATGCCCTCCTATTCTGGAACTCTGCCTGGAACTTAACCCAACACCTAACAAAAGGAAACTCCTGTTTTCCTTTTTCTGCTTTCCCTAAATCTAGGCCCTTTTCTCGGTCCCCTTTCCTGGGACATTAAAAATACCAAAACCATTAAAACTCTTGAGCTCCATTGTGGACATGGTGAGTATCTGTGGGCTGAACTTACTTCCTGAAAACCAAGTATGACCTTGTTTCTTTGAGAAAATCCTCTGACTTCTAAACATCAATTTCTAACTTAATTTTTTAAAAGAAAACCCTTCTGCAAAATGTGGGCTGCCAAAGGAACAAGCATATTTACAAATTCTAGTTGAGGAATGCATGGGGGTCAAGTGCTGTTCTAACAGTGAACGAAAAGTTTTAAATGTAACAAGTTTGGGTATTCTGTGCTTATTCTTCTCAGAGGCATAATTTCTTTTTTGAGAACTTGATTTTCCCATCTTTCCCCGAAATGCCAACAGCTGTGTGGTATGAATTTAGCATTTGCTAACCAACCCCCATGCCTCTGCAGCCGACCTCCATCTTCCCTTCCAAAATCCTATAACAGGCATAGGAATGATAATGAGCGAAAAGGGTCTAGGGCCAGTGGAGCCCCATGCACACTCGTGGCCAAATCACCCATGGTCCTTGGCCTCCGAGGGTTGGAGAGCAGCTGCTTGCCCGCAGGCCTCCATCCCCTGCACCTCCTCTTTGCTGCTGGAACCCACCATCTCTTGGTCTTCAGAGGTTTCAGGATTGTCATGTGCTTTGCTGATTTAGCTCTAGGTCAGAGGATAAGTACAAGGCTAACAGCCACAAATCTGTTTTGTTTTCTTCATCAGGAAATTAGCATTTCTTTATTCCCAACCGTGTGGCAAACACAGTTGAGCAAACCCTTTGGTCCAAATATACCTCTGGTTTGACCCCAGCCCAATTTTGGTGAGATCTCACCATTTTCTGAGGATGTAGCAGAACTGACCAGGCCTCCGAAGCCCAAAGTGTGGGATTGATTTTCAGCTGACTGCCCCGTGCTCCCACAATTACTCCTTTCAAGATGACCAACTAAACTGGCCCATGGAGCTGTGCTGTATGTGAATTCTGAGCTTGGTTTTCCTATTTTTGGGGATATCATCTTGAGTGGAAACTGTCCTACATTGTGGCTCTCTTTTTCCTGAAGATCTAAGGCCATGATGATATCCAGTTTTGCTTTTGGCTTAGGAGATTCAGAAGATAGTGACCTTGGGGCCCTGAAGATTTCACTCAATTTGCAGAAGCAAAAGCACCCCTTGAGTTGAAATTATGCTAGGGTAACAACTATAATGATAATGCATTTTGTTTTAGAACTTTGTTTGAAATAACACTTTTATATATTTTGTTTGGTTATAATAACAGCTCTGTAATACAGGTTGAATTGTCCTAATTTTGTAGGTAAGGAAATATAGGCTCTGGGAGGCAAATGAACTCCAATAAATGAAGCAGCCAGGTTTTAAACCCAGTTTGTTCTCCCTATCCAGAAATACTTTTCCTGTGTCATGCTCCCTTACAGAGGAGGCAAGAACCATTTTCTTCCTCAATAAATCTAAGTGATTAAACTAGTCACTACACCACATCCAGTCATATGAAACATCAGTTTAAATCTGACATTAGATTAGAAAACAGTTATCATCACAGCATGACTATTAAATGAATTAAACAGCAATTTCTTCCCTTTTCCCAGAGGCAACATGGTAGCACGAAAGGGCCCCAAACCACTGTACCAGTCAGAAATCCTGGTGTCCAGTGTCTGAACCTGAATTTTTCTCACTTATGAAATAGAGTTGATAACATCTACTGTTTTTCATTACAGGGCTGTTAATGTATGCTTGAAAACTGTATAATTTTTATTTTTTAATTCTGAAGCCCTTTCACCCCAGTTATAATTCCTTTGTCAGCTTGGACACTCTTGAAGATGTTAGGAGAAAGAGAATATATTGCCATTTGCTCAAGAGGACTTCTCACACTTAGCTGAAATCCTATGAATGAATATGTCCAGAGAAAGAGAGTGCCTTGGAAGATGAGAGGTTTCTTGTCATTGTCATAGGAAGTCACAGGGAGCCTTTGAGCTGTTTGGAATCCAACGCTGAATAAGTGGATGTGTTTCGGACTGAGCCCTCCACCTGTGCCCTGTGCCCTGGATGGCGGTTTCTGTGCTCTGAGTACCCAGAGCACAGTCTGGTGCAGCCAGTTCGTGAAATTCTCAGAAGCCTAAGCATAAATTCTGTTCTCCTCAGTAAGTTTTGAAGTAAACCAAAAGTAGTGGAATGATTTAGACAACTTACAGAAGAGGAAATTAAAAAAATATGTTGGCCAGTTAACATGAATAACCCTGCTAACTTCATAGGTGGTCATAGGAACTCACATTGAAAACAAGTACACTTCTTTACCTCTCCGGTTGGAGAACCGTTTTTCAGAATAGTCAAGGTAAGTGTCAGCAAGGATGAGGTTGCAGCAGACACTGGTAGGGAAGTAAACCAGCATCCTTTTTCTGCAAAAATTGGTGGCAGTGTATGTGGGGAGCCTTACAATTGTTAATGACTTCAGATTGGATAATTTCAATTACAGAATGTTTCCTAACAGAAATAATATGGTCCCAGGTAGCACAAGTACTTATCTATGAAGGTATCAATATGGTGTTAATTATAATTGCAAAATACCAGACACAAGTGTTGAGTAGCAGGGCAGTAGTTATTCAGCAGCTATACAGTGGACTGTAAGCAGCCATTTAATGTCATGTTTTTAAAGCATATTTTAATGGCAAGAAAAATATTAATGAGGAAGAAATAGTATGCAAACCTGTTTATACATATCATTTATAGATAAGAATAGATATCTTTTTTTCCTTTTAAGGATTTTATTTATTTGACACAGAGAGAGAGAGAGAGCGCACAAGTAAGCAGACTGGCAGGGAGAGGGAGAAGCAGGCTCTCTGCTGAGCAGGGAACCCCATTTGGGACTTGATCCCAGGACCCTGGAATCATGACCCAAGCTAAACACAGACGCTTTACCGACTGAGCCACCCAGGTGCCCCAAATAGGAATAGATACCTATGTATCTCAAGCTAACAGTAGTCATCTTTAGGCAGACGGTTTACTTTTTTTTTTTAATATACTTTCTGTATTTTCCTGAAGTTCTACAATATGAATGTAACACATTTTTTAAATCAGAAAAACATTATTTGGAAAAATATATTCAGGGGAGGGGAGTATCTTCATTAAATTCACATCTTTTAAAATATAAAATGAAATTTTAAGGTAGTGTTAAAATAAGAGTTATAGGGATTCCTGGGTGGCTCAGTTGGTTAAGTGTCTGCCTTTGGCTCAGGTCATGATCCCAGGGTCCTGGGTTTGAGCCCCACATTGGACTCCCTACTCAGCGGGGAGCCTGCTTCTCCCTCTGCCTGCTGCCTGTTCTGCCTGCAGCTCTCTGTGCTGCTGCCATCTCTCTGACAAATAAATAAATAAATAAAATCTAAAAAAAAATCTGGGGGAAAAAAAAAGAGTTATAGTACTATTTCAGTAAGTGAATGAATAAGTTAGGTGGATTGCCAAGAGATTATTGATTTAAAAGAAAAAAAACCCAGCAAACCACTGTGGGTGATACTCAAATTTTTAGGTAGTTATAAAGAAACTACAGTTTTTCTAAATTAGGAGGTACTAAGTTGGAAATTTCCAATGATATTTGCTTTTCAGTACTTGATTTTACAAAGTGCCAACATTTTACAAGTGAAGAAAGCTTAAAATTTCAAGTAGAAAGAGAATTTGTTTCTAAATACCTCTTGAAGTTTTTGTATTCCTGGAAAAGATTTAATAGTTGCAGGGAATGAGTACAAAATTGACTTCCTTTGGAGAGTGTGATTTCTTGATCAGTGTCTGAATTAAATGGGACTATTCAGTTGAATTGTTTGACTTTTACTTCAATTTATATATTTATGGTCAGAAAGATAACATATAACATTTTGAATATGCTTACAAAACATTGAACCCTGCATTTTATTTTACAGTGTAGCTCTCGCAATATATTACCACATCAAAAACAGGTATGTGGATGATTAATTTTGTGCTAAAAACATTACACATTATCTCCTATATTATTTCTCCTATTTTTTTCCTCTTATGTTCTAGTTGCTTCAGCCTTTGTATTCTTTACTCATGTTGTCATGGAATTTCTAGAGTTAGTTTAATTTACGAAAACTTCCCAGGTAAGTGCTGAACTGCTAGCAGCTCAGTCAGAGGGAACCAAATGGGTGTTTGTGTTTGAAGCCAGCAGAACATAGCAAACCTTCTTGATAATGCCCAGCTTCCTTTTCACTCTTGAGTTTCTGTATAATTTGCTTAAACAGTCTTTCTTTTATAAACTACTATTTTAAAAATTTACTATGTGCTACTTCAACACGAGAAAAAATGTTTATAGTTTTAAATGAGAAGAAACTTTGGTGTAAATTTAGATGTAAACTATTTTAATGTAGTAGAAACCTTCTCTCTGGTAGAAGTCAGATGACAAAACAGATGAAGGAGGAGCCGGCGCGGTGAGGTACGGTGAGGTGCAGTGGTCTCTGTGGCGCCAGGTCAAGGCACTGTACGTCCAGTGCAAGTCACCACTTTTGATGGCATTTACTGGCCTTGTAACAACCAGCCATTCTTTTAGAGATGTATGGATTACTGAGTTCAGCTTTTCTACACATTACCTCTTGTTTTTCAGTATAAAATCGTGAAACTCTTAATGAAGTGTTTAAGTTGAATGTTGTGAAAATTTCAAATTAATTTCCAGGACGCACTGAATGTTCATTTTTACCCTTGAACTTCTTTCCTTTCAGCTACCATATAGTGATGGTTTAAGCATATCCATTAGCCTTTGCTGAGAAGCAAGATATTTAAAGAAGTTTGTCACTTGCATAGATTTGGTTTATTTGAAAACTCAGAAAATGAAAATCTAGATTTTGATTTTTTTTTTTTTTGCTTAGGTTAATTCAGCTAAATGTGGTTTATAACCTTCATTTCATAGACTTTAAACAGAAATGATTAAATATTGTACACAAGAGAGATTATTCGTGGATAACTAGTAGCATCTCTGACATCTAACATTGACTTTCGTTTTTTGAAATATGTTAAATCAAATGTAAGTGACATTCTTGCAGAAAGTAAACTCCATTTTCTCTTATTTTCCCCACCAGGGACCCAGATGGAAGGATGCTCTTAGATATTTTTGATGAAAACCTTCACCCTCTTTCGGTAATCTCTTCCTTCTGATGGTGTTTAATTATTTCTCTTTTGTTTTCATTGGGTGGCCAGTCATCTGAAAACATTTCCTTCCCCAGAAATCCGAAGTGCCACCAGATTATGATAAACACAACCCAGAGCAGAAGCAGATTTACCGGTTTGTTCGGACACTGTTCAGTGCTGCTCAGCTGACGGCCGAATGTGCCATTGTCACCCTGGTGAGTGCCTTCCCAATGACCACAGCCGTTCTCTAGATCACTGGAGTGGGTGCAAGCAGGGAGTCTCACCAGGTACCCTCGGGAAACTACATCTTCGCCTTCAAGGTTGTCTCCCCCCGCCGCCCCAGGGAGAGTACAGAATGGATCTCCCAAAAGGGGGTGTGAAGTCTGTTCCACCGTCCCCACCTAAAGTCAGTTGTAAAATCACATTCAAACCCAATGAATGTTGAAACATTAAATGCACATAAGTAAAACCTTGGGCTAAAGGGGAGTAAGAAGGACCAAGGCCACTTACTCCCTACTAATGTCCCGGTTTCCTGTTAAACCCTGCAAAGGTTTTAATGACATTAAGAAGATGTGATGAACACATACATCCTCTATGACTCCTGTTATAGGAAGAGGTACTATATGTTGCTGCCTTCTTTTTTGTGATTTTTGTGTCAATAATGTGTTTGTAAGATAGAGACAACATGGACGTGTACTTTAAGACTCACAGAGATAAAAACCTATAATCTTACTTAGATTCTTAAAACTTTAGGGGCTATTTAGGTCAAATCTCATTTGGGAAATAGATGGACAGTAGAACCCATTCTTGCTGACCTTTTATTTTACATTGCATGCAACTCAGATAAGCAGTTAGCTGTGCCTGTGAGTGAGCCCTCCCAGAGGGAGAGCAGAAAGCCATTCCCTGTTGCTTCTGAGAAGAGATTGTTGTCCACTAGAAAGTTTACAGGCCACCCAAGGACCCTTTGTATCTCTGCGACACTAAGAGCTTTATGCCCTTCAGCTAATTCAACAGTAAACCTGTTTGTTTATTCATTCAGTGGTTTGTCGTTTGTGTGTCCAGGCTTTCTCTCACTGAACTTGCCACCTAATGGGTAAAACAGACATTGAGCAAGTAATCATTGGGTATTTGGAATGATAATAGCTCTTCGGTCCTATGTGAGAAGTATATTTATGGCTTAGTTGTTCACCCAGTGGATTTCAAGTTCTTACAAAAACATGCAGCCGGGAAACAGGGTTGAAGTTGTAAAGGGAAATGGTGATAAAGAGAAAAGGAGGGTAAGAAAACCAGATGAAACCACAGATGGGATTCGTACTAAACTTTCATGCCATGATGATTTATTTTGAAGCTGCTGTGGATGGAACATGGTGGGGATTTTTTTTTTAACCTTTAATTCTTAAGAAAATTATGACCTGACTGTGACCTGATTGTTTAGACTTATTAGCATGAAGAGGTTAGTGTCCTGTGGAGGACAGAGAGCTGAGATTTTAATCCCTGCCACTCCCAGCTTTGGCAGAGATGTTGAGAGAACATCTAAAGTGCATTCCATTTCCAGGGGTGACAGGGAGGATTGGTTAATTCATGTCTTTGGAGTGCTGTAGGAGTGGTGCATTTTTGTCAGTAATTATAACTACTGAAATCTTCACTTGTCCTCTTAGATAAACTGGTGCTTAGCAGGAGGTTAGCTTGTTTTGAGGTCTTGGTAGTTCCAGCCTAAAGATGAGCAGCTTTGGGGTCCTGTGTGGTGGGTACAGCACTGCAGACTGACCCCCCGGCTGCTGCTGCTGTGCTGCTGCTTGTGAGGCCAAGGGTCAGCCTGCATGCCTCTGGGCAGAAGGCGGATCTATGCGTGCTCTGAGCTAGACCCTTGTGTGATAATTCTTCCCTTTGCTGTGTCCCTTGGAATTGGAAGCAGTCATTCAGAGCAAGTTCAGTCTGAGTAGACAGAGAAGCATTAACCTCTGCCTTTCTCCTGGGCATTCTCTTGGCATCCTGGCATGCTGCCCAGGAGGAGGCTGATGGTGGGAGGAGGCTGGTGGTGCGGGGAGGACAGCAAGTTAGCTGCAGCCCTGTTGCCCACAAGGAACAAAACTGCAGCCTGCCTGTGGTTAAGACAGCTTCCAGGACCTTCAAATACTCAGAACCTAGTTACTGCAAAGCAAGTATTTCACAGCTTAATTAACTTTATTCTAAAAGAGTCACAGTAACTTTACATCACCAAATGTATGTTTTTAGTCTAGCAGAATATTGGGAAAGCTCTGCCATTGATATTGACACATGAGGAAATTAAAGGGATAGGTAACTGAAATCGCTCTTTGCTGATTTCTGATAAATTTTCACTTAGAGGCATTGTGTAATATTCCCTCCCACAGCTGTGGGGAGCCGGGGTTGGGTGGAAGGCCATGGTGCCCAGTTGCCCCTCTGTAGAGCCCGTCCTTTCCTGCAGGGGTTATTAGTGGGTTAAACTTAGAGCTATGAACAGACAGCCATTTCAGTCCCATGTGTGATGCTTGGATAACAAAATACAGCTCCCTGTCTAAGCCAGGGATTTTGATTATAAGGATGAGAAACCCACACAAAGAGGCCAAGGCAGGAGATTTATTGGAAGGTTCAGGAATCCCATATATCTGTGTACTCACCCTACAACAGGTTCCTTTATCCGTCTCCTTTCTGGGGCTGCCTCTTCTTGTCTCTGCTCCTCCCTTTGGGTTTGCAATATTGAATTTCAGGTTGGCTTCTGGCTGGTTGGACGTGGCAGGGAAGTAACTGCCCTAACCTTGACTGTCCATCACTTTTGCACTGAAGGCCCAACATTGGCTAATTCAGCCTCTTGGGTTTAGTTCAGATTTTGGAGAGGGGATGAATTTTGATTGGCTTTATCAGCGACTAACCCAGTTCCTTCAGGTCAGATGTTTACCCTTAAAGCAGTCATGACCCAGAGGTGATAGGACAGAGGGGCCCAGGGCTCTGTCCTGAACCATTGTTTTACTTACTCTGTTCAAAACCTTCAGTGGTTCCTCATCTTCCTCAAGAAAGACACAGAGAAGGCTCTTATGTAACCTGTAGCAGGGTTAGGCCATCTTTCATTTCAGCTCAGCTGCCTCTCTTCGTACCAGTACCTGCCTTGGGACTTTGGCACGTGACACAGCTGCCTGGAATCCTCTTTCCCGATAGGCGTGTGGCGCCACCCTGCCTTCCTTCAAGTCTTTGCTCAAAGGGCACGTCCTCGAGGCCATCATATTTTGAATTGTAATCTCCCTCCTCCCCCACATTCCTTTCTCATCATTTCCTGCTTTGTTTTTCTTCATAGCACTTGTCACCAATTAACATTTTTTTATGTTTTACTCGTTTATCTTATTTTGTTTATACGTTCCACGATTAAGAGGTTTTTAAAAAATCTTTTTGTCTTTCTTGTTCATTGCACTGTGACCAACATCTGGAACAAGGCTGTGTGCCTAATAAATATTAAATATCAAAGTAAGTGTAGAATAACTGCCTACTCCTGAGGTAATTGAAAGTGGTATTGATACGCCTTGCACTTTGCCTGAAACATAGGGGGAACATTCAGGAGCTACTTGTGGTAGTCTTCTCCTACTCTGGGCGTTTTATAACTTTAAACTCCTATTCTGCTATTTTGCTTAAGGTATTAAGGTAAGCCTTCTGAAGGGAGGGTGGTGAAGTCATTGGCCTGGGGACATTGCTCAGCCGATCCCCTGAGCGTTGCCTATAAGGTTGGTTCTATCTGGAGGGCCACAGTGATGGGTGATGGGAGAGAGAGAGGAAGTTAGTAGCTGATAGAGAGGAGTTGGGCATAAAAAGAAAGGGGGAGTGGAGAAGAAATGGGGATGGCAACAATTGGGACTAACCAGACAGAAGATGTATTACCTTTTTATTAATTTCTTCTTTTTTGTAGCTTTATTGAGATATAGTTTAACTTACCATAAAATCCCCTTAAAGTAAGCGCTTCAGTGGTTTTTTGGTATCTTGTGCAACCATCACCACAGCCTAATTTCAGAATATTTTCATCATCCCATAAAGAAACCGTTTAGCAGCCACTCCCCATCCCCAGACCCTATTCTAGACCCAGATAACCCCACCAATCTATTTTCTTTCTCAAGGGATTTGCCTATTCTAGGCATTTCGTAGAACAGATTGATAGAATATAGCCTTTTGTGACTGGCTTTTCACTTACTGTAATGTTTTTAAACATAATCCATTTTGTAACATGTAGAGTATTTCATTCTTTTTTATTGCTAAATAATCTTCCATTTTGTTTATTCATTCATCAGTTAATGGACATATGAGTTTCTGTTTTTTAGCTATTATGAATAATGCTACTGTGAACATTTGTGCACATTTTTTTTTTTTGAGTAGGCATATATTTTCATTTCTCTTGCTATATACCTAAGAGTGGAATTGCTGGGTCATATGGTAAGTCTTTAATTTTTTTGAGGAACAGTCTGTTTTTCTGTGTGGCGGTACCATTTTACATTCTACTTGGCAGTTCCGTAATAGGAGGGTTCCAGTTTCTCCACATATTATCCTTGCCAACACTTGTTGTCTTTTTTGAAGTTAGCCATTCTAGTAGGTGTGAAGTGTTGAGCATCTTTCCATGTGTTTATTGGGCGTTTGTTTATCTTCTTTGGAGAAATGTCTATTCAAATTCTTTGCCCATTTTTAAATTGGGTTGTCTTTTTATTATTGAATTGTAAGAGTTCTTTATATGTTCTGCCTTAAAACTCCCTTGTCAGGTAATGATTCACAAGTATCTTCTCCTATTCTCTCTGTTGTCATTCACTTTCTTAATAGTATCATTTACAATATAGGTTTTTCATTTTCATAAGGCCCAATCTGTATGTATTTTTTCTTTTGTGTTTTTGGTGTTGTATCTAAGAAACCATTAAATAACAGAGGGTGATGTGATTTACTCTGATGTCTTCTTTTAGGAGTTAGGTAATTTTAGATCTTATATTTAGGTATATACATTTAGGTATGATCCATTTGGAACTCATTTTTGTGAGGTAGGGATCCAGATTTATTCCTTTGCATGTGGATATCCAGTTGTTGCAGTGCCATTTGTTGAAGAGACTGTCCTTTCCTCATTGAATTGTTTTATAACTCTTGTCAAAAATCAGTTGACCATAAATGGGCAAGTTTATTTCTGGACTTTCAGTTTTATTTCATTGGTCTGTTTGTATTTCCTAATGTCCACACC